GGCGTTTTTTTCATATTAATTGAATGCCAAATGGTGTGAAAAAATACGATAGGGACTTCTCCGTCTAAAAAAAATCTTGCACACCTAACCATGGGCGAGTTTTTAAAGTAAATGTACGTTCATGAAAGTATTTTCGCGCATATCAAATGCGTCTTTCCTTAAGGTTTCTTAGAGTTTAGACTACTTTATATCGCTAGCTGATGGTGTTTAATGTGTTTGCTCTTTTCCATGTTCGAATCCCCACATCTCTCCTTTTATGCACGCACGTAAGATTGAAGGAACAGAATAACACAATGTGTATGGTCAAGATGAACATAGGCCGTGCAGATGCACCGTCTGCTGAAAAAACGAACCGTGGAGATGAATATACAAACATGATAGGAAACTGAAGAATAGCATCTGTCTATCGAATGCTCATGCTCATGAATGCACTAGGTCTAGGAGGTCAGGATAGTTTAAGTTATCACAACATGATGACTAGTATTTCATTCTTGTGAGATCTGAAGTGAACATTCAAAAAAACCATGGTCTAAATTTTGGCCATTTTACATTAAGGTCATCTTTTTTTGAATTTTTTTTCCTATTTTAACCCCACTCAAACCACCATAATATGAAAAGCTTTATATATTTGGGCAGTTTGGAACTCTAAATTTTGATGTTTTGTAATTTCTTTTGAGTAGTTTGACCATTAGACTTTTGAACCATCTAAACTTGTTCATTTTTTGGGTTTTAGATTATTCAAAAGTTAGTTTTCAATCACCCAAACAGATGTTTTGGGCGGTTGTAAAATTTTTTGGGTAATATGAAAATTAAGACTTTCGAACATGGAGTAAAATGAGAATACAAAAATAAAAGCAAATAAAAAAAGAGAATCTCGATGTAAAATGGCCTAGAATCTAGAATATGGGTCATGCATTAATACATCTTTTCTCAGTCAAAAAAAGTGTAGATCTCCACTATTTGTTTAGAGATTGTATATTATAAGACCGTCTAATTCTAGTACAATCACAATCACTTTAACCATTAGATGTGAAATCCGACTTGGAGTGAGTTACATAATTCAAATTTTTTTTCCCTACCCAATCAATCACACCCTTGTCCAACTAAATTTACATTTGATGATAAATAATGATTCGGCTTCCTTGTGCTAAAAATAAATAGTCCCATTGTATGCCTTTTCATTTATTTAAAGAATAGATGTAAATGGTGCCTATACTTTCTCCTTTCATTCCTGTATGCATTTGCCTTACACATTATTATTTTTAGGGTAATTCAGTGGAGCAGACAAGCCCGTACCTGTTTTTTCGTTTTTCCATATAAATTAAAGGGTTAGCTTTTTTAAAAGTGCCAGTGAGTGATGTCAACGGTGTGGATTGAAAACTAAAACGTGGTAACTAGGTACGGTGGTGCTACCACCCCAACACCACAACCTAGCCCCTTTCCTATTATCATACACAGTATGTGCATGCTATAAGCACATTGGTTTAAGTCCTTTTTACTGTGTAGATTTCGATGAGGTTCCCATTCACAATTAAGACACAGTACAATTGTAGATGATAGAATTTGATTATGAATGGGAGAGGTCTAAGTTTTAACCTATCTCTGTCCTGAGCAACCTTTTTTCCTAATATTTAATTACGAAAAAGGCATTCTTAAGGGTATTTATTCCTAATTCGTGCTCCAATGCCCTATCTTTTAATATTTTTTAGGTTAAAATTAACGTTACTTTCACTTACTACGGGCATAATATTAAATATAACTTTGTCTTACATTTATTGCAAAAAATGGAACTTTACTATAGCATCTTAAATAGGGAATCATGTCAGGTCATTTTCATGTGTTAACTCGATTATTGGAAAGTTAAGGATATCTTTATGATTTGGAAAACATGAGAACAATGATCAAACCAACATCATGATTACTTTTTAGAAATCATTTCACATAAGCACCATCTTAATTATTTTATTAAAAAAATGTCCAATTGCTGGTTTGGACCGCTTTAGAACCCCGGACAAATTAAGGTATTATGATAGTTTGCACAAGTTAATTGAACTGTATAACCCAAGTACCCCAAGTTATTGAGATTTCGAACTCAAAATATGTTTTCTCATTAACAATCTTGTTCCAATATAAAACTTGGAGCAAGGAGGTGTATTAATGCATTTAATGTGACTTAACTCGAATAAAATTATCAAAACATAGGAAATGGTCTGGGTCGTGGTGATAGTACCCCACATCCTATTCACCACATTGTGGCTCTCATTCTCACCACTAACACCATGCTAATAATACACTCAAAAAGCTAACTTCTAATTTACTTGAAAAAATGGTAGGGGCTCGTCTTCCCCACTCAATTACTAGAAAAACATTACCAAAATACCACTATATGCTCCGGGTTCCCAACAAAGAATATTTTTATTTTTTTTTAAAGAAAAAATAAGTTTTTCGAGCTTGGAATAAAGAACAAGCAATAGTATCTAGATTATTTAGCTCAAGTGACTCAAGTACGTTGAATTACCAAAATGCCTTCCTATGTTTTAGGTTGCCATTCAAGAATATGGATTTGTTGGGCTTTCTTTTACAAAATTAATGAAGAGATACCCAAATGAATGAATTTTAAAAAACTTCGGCACTACATTAGTACATTTATTCAAACTTATTCATGTAACCACCTCATTCATGTTTTTAAGGTCATTGGATCATTTTCAATGTTATTTTCCCTATTTATTTGTTGAAAACTTTCCATTTTTTGCATCGCTTCCTTTTTTGCCTTTTCTTTTTTTAATTAACATCCATCACTTCCATTTTTCACTTATCAAGCAGAATCATATCCTCCATTCCCCCCCCTAAGGTAAAAACCTAAAACACTCAACCCGAAAAAATACCATTATTGAACAAAGACCGTCAAAATTTGAGAGAGTGAGATCTAAAAAATAAGAAACTTAAGAGACTTTTTCCTCATTAATTTTTCTCAATAATTCTCAGTGATTCTAAACGAAAGAAGGAAGTAGTCAGTGGTTCTAAATGAAAGAAGGAAGTACTCGGTGGTTCTAAATGAAAGAAGGAAGTATACAGTCCGCAGAAGCACGCTATTTTAAATTTCATATGGTGTAAATATGGTGCTTGCAATCAGCTCAACTCTAATTTTCATGAATTTAAAAGCCTCTTCTCTATATTAAAGTCGATAATCATTATGGGCGGTCAAGAATATGGATTCTCTCTCTCTTTTATATTTGAGCTTTTCTCTCACTCATGCTGCTTGTGAGGATTCCCACTGGTAGTGAGAGTGTCGGCGAGAAAGCAACATAAACCAGAAAAAGAGAGAAGTTTTTCTTTGTAGAGAGAGAAGAAAGAGTTTTTACGTTTCTTTATTGGCGAGGAGAGGAGAGGAGAGAGAAAGGGAGAAGTGGGTGTGATGACGACGGTTGAAAAAGGCAAGATTGACATTCCCACGCCCACGCCACAGAGCGTGCTCATCATTAGGAAGCAACGGGAAGGAGAGGAATATGGGTACGTCAAGAGAGAGAATCAAACAACAGAAGAGAGAGAAAGAGAGAGCAAATTGAAGAAGAGAGAGAATCATAGAGCTTAAATTGAAGAAGATGAGAGAGAGAGAGAGAGAATCATTGCGCCCCCCTTCCCCAGCATCTCGAAGTCCCTAGATACTGAAGGCCTCTCTGAAAGAATAAAACCCAATCTGTGATGAATGAGAGAGAGAGGGAGGAAGTAAGAGAGAGAAACAATGGAATTAGAGGAAGGTGCGTGGTGGGTTCTTAACGAATAATGGAAAGTGACACGACTGCTTTAATTCTCGGGCCGCCCCAAACCAGAGAAAAAAGCAGCAAAAAGGGATCCAGCAACTGCAGCGGCGAGCAAAACAAACTCTCTCTCTCTCTCTCCTCAGAATTATCTGCTGAGGAGTGACAGATGACTTAGAGAGAGAAAGGCAAAGCAGAGGAGTGTTTGAAAAGAAGGATTAGCGGAGAGAGGGAGAAAGAAAGAGAGATGGGGATTGTTTTGGGGTTTTTAGAGAGAAAAAGAAGAAATTAAGTTGCGGGGTTAAGAAGTCGTTATCGCGAGTTGCTTTTCGGCTGCCGCCCACCCGTCATCGTCGTGCAGAGTTGCAAAATATAAATATAAATAGAAGAAAAAGTTGGGCGGTAAGAAAACTCTGCAACTCTCTTCTTCTATTCCTTCCCTTTTTTCTTTACCGCCTGTTACGCTCAGAAGAAGAAACAGGTCGGAATTGGGGTTTAGAGAGAGAAAGAGAGGGCAATCAGTGAAACGGGTAACCCTATTTTCTCTCTCTTGAACCTTTTTGAGATCATTGTGTTTCTCTCTCTACCTAGGGTCCAAAAATTGTTGATTCTTGTTACTGTGGCGATGGTTTCGAGTTTTCAACTTTCAATAATGGCACAAAACATACACTGAGAAACGTGAAATGTGTCCCTTAAGCTGACTGTCAGAGTGGGCGGTAGCCGCCATTAAAATTTAGCAGTTTCTTTCTATTTATCACACTCCCTCAACTCATTTTTGGGATTCTTGTAGGACTAATCCGCAACACCAGCTGAGGTCGTGTACCTCTCGCTCTGCGCTAAAGTTTCTGTTCAGAAACTTCTTTTAAGAGTTGTCTGCAACTTTCAGATCTTGAAAGATTAGGAGGACCACTTCCTCTCTCAAACACCATCATCAATATTTGGAAAACCTCTTCTCTCTCACATCTTCACTTTCTCTCACTTCCATCTTCTCTTTTCAGATCTCTCAGGAAAACAGATAGATAACCGGAATCCTTACACAAAGCGAAGGCCATCAGCTCAAAGCTTGTTCTCATTTCTGATGATAGAGAAACTTCTACAACCATAGAGAGAGAAAGATGAGAACACAACGAAGCTAAGATGTTGAGCTCTCTTGCACTTTGCTGCGTCTCCGCCCTTGCTGTAGAAGCTCATCTCTGGTTAACCCATGAAGTAATTAACAGTGCATACATCCTTTGAGATTAATCACTTCAAGACCCAAATCTGGAAGGGGAAAGAGACCCAAATCTCAACCAGAGGAAACCACCTCTGAATCTCCCCCCTTTCTTTCAACCCCCCCTCTCTCAAACTCATCACCATTACCAAACCCCATGGCTCTCTCCTTTCCCTAACAATGCTCAAACTTCTGGCCAAACATCACTGGGGAACCAGCCAGAAAACTCATCCGAAAACCAGAGGCAAAGGCTGAGCTTTCAGTCGAGAGGAGGCGGAGGTGAGATAATAGAGGTCGAAGGCGGTCATATACTGAGAGCCACAGGTCGGAAAGATCGGCACAGCAAGGTCTGTACAGCAAAAGGGCCAAGAGATAGGCGTGTCCGCCTCGCTGCTCATACAGCTATTCAGTTCTATGATGTTCAAGATCGGCTTGGTTACGATAGGCCGAGTAAAGCAGTGGATTGGCTCATTAACAAGGCAAAACCAGCCATTGATGAGCTCAAAAAGAGGACCCATGGCCAAAGCTCGAGCCATGGAAATGCCCCATGTCCTTTTGGGGAGGTTGATTTGGGTGGTGCACCTCATAAGAGGTCTGCTTCATTGTTGAATGATCAGACTCAGCTGCCATTTTCGAGCTCTGGTGCTGAAGTGCCGCAGTTGGATTTTTTGCCACCAAACCAGAGGCCATTTTTGGAACAGGGAATTCAGCAAGGTTGGGCTCAAATGGAGGTGGGTTCGAGTTTTATGAGTGGTTTTCATGGAGTTTCGAGTTCGTTTCCAGAGGGAGGAACCCTTCAGTCCAGTAGTGCAGAGAGCTACCTCGGGTTGATATCGCCTGTTGGATTTGTGCCGGGGGTGTATCCAGGGTTTCGAATTCCTGCGAGGTTTAGAGGTGATGAGGAACAGGATGATGCCAAGCTATCAGATCCTCCATCTACATTTGCGCACCATTAAGTGGTACATACAATCTCTCTCCCAATAAGGAGTCTCCTTCTCCCTCTCCACCATGACTCCTGCAACTCTCTCGCACTACGTGCAGTCTCCAACACAATCTCTCTCTCTCCCACCATAAGGAGTCTCCATCTCTCTCTCCACCATGACTCCTGCAACTCGCTCGCACTACCTGCAGTCTCCAACACAATCTCTCCCTCACTGCCTCTCTATCTCTCTCTCTCACAGTGTATGCAGTCTCTAACACAGACTTCTCCCCTCTGTCTCCATGAATTCCCCCAACTCTATTTACTGTTCTATTGCTTCTCTCTCTCTCTCTCTCTCTCTCTCTCTCTCTCTCTCTCTCTCTCTCTCTCTCTCTCTCACTCTCTCTCTACTCTCTCTACTACTCTCTCTCTACTCTCTCTCTCTCTCTCTCTCTCTCTCTCTCTCTCTCTCTCTCTCTCTCTCTCTCTCTCTCTCTCTTCCACCGCACAGACTGTTACTCTCTCTCTGTTGGAATTGCATTACCCTTGCTCTCTCTCTACTGGTGAATTGCATTATTCTTTTCTAGCAATTGTGCAGCTAGATACATATTTGGTGTGTAATGTTTTTCCTCTTTCTAGTTCTTGCTTTTATTACAATTGCCATTGGTGGAGGTCTATCGGATGTTGTCACTGAATCCAGCCTTATAGTGTTTCAGTTCTCTCTCTCCTCTTGCTATTTTACTTGTAATACCCTCTCTCTCTCCCTCTCTCCTCTTGCCATTTTACATGTAAAACTCACTCTCTCTCTCTCTTTCTCTTACAATTTTACTTGTAAAACTCTCTCTCTCTTACAATTTTACATGTAAAACTCTCTCTCTCTTACAATTTTACTTGTAAAACTCCCTCTCTCTCTCTCTTACAATTTTACTTGTAAAACTCTCTCTCTCTCTTAAGACTGTCTCCAAATATATTTGGAAATGCATCGGTTTGTCTCCATATGTTGGTCTTCATGTCATTCCATTTGCCATTGGAGGACAGAGACAGAAGTGGAACCGAAACTGACTGTCGAATATTCCCTAAAAGAAAAAAACTGTTGGACCACTTATCCTGATAACCATTTTCATCCCAAAGCATGTGAAACTATTTTCTTGTTTTTTATTTTATATTTAAAAATAATAAAATTTGATTTTTTTCGGGTTTTTGTTGTAGACGATCTTTTCTACGTCAATGTAATACATTGTTTCTTGTTCTCTATTTAATGGTTGTTTAATGTTCCATTCAGTGTAAAATTCTCAGTTTTCAGATTTTTGTTGAGTTTAATTGTTATATGTCATTTTTGGGATGCTGATATGCATTTGTTAATAAATATAAGTTTTTTTAAAAAATATTTTGATTGGCTTTCCTTTTTGTTCTTTAACACTTCATTGAAACTGTGGAGTATGTAAAACACGAAAGACTTGATCGATATTTCTTTTCAGTTTTCAAGATTTTTCTGTTTTATATTTTTGGTTTAATCTAGAAGAGTATTAGTTTATGGATTGCTTTGATGGATTAATGCTTAAAATGATACTATGGTAAGTACTGGAAATTTGTATAGTACCCGATAGATGAAATCATGAGACTTGCTCCAAATTCTAATATCAATATCATGGATTCTTTGGCTATCTTTATTTGTATATGAAAAATTGACTTTTCCCCTTCAATAGTTCTTTATTTACTTCACAATTTTTCATTGGAATTGTTTGATACATTGTTAGAGTGCATCAATGAGATATGAAATCATGGACTATTTTTTTCAATTATTTGTTTTTTTATAGAGCAAATTACATACCGACATTGTTTCGGGGCGTTCGCCGTTTGATGTTATTTTTGCTATAAATTATGAGTACCAGGCTTATTCTTTCTGCAAACGCAAGAAGAGTAGTTTTCATACCAGATATTGGTGAAGTTGTCCGGAGTTAAGTTCTTGTCCAGTAGTTTTTATACCAGATGTTGGTGTAGTTCTATGTTGTCCGGTGTTCATATTACTAGACAGCTCTCTGGAATTCCTCAAAACCCGTCTGCCCTTTCTTCCCATCATTGTTTTCCTCTCACTCGCGCTTTCTCTTTCCTCTCTCTCTCTACAACCTAGAGCTCCCTCTCTCCATGGAGCAACCATCTAAAGCTCTGCAGACATTTGGTGGTGCTAATCAGGTAGGTTTAACATCCGCATCAATTTCAATTCATTCTGTTACTTTTGTTTATAGGGGTTTCTATCATTTTTTATTTTCTAGCTGGGCCAATCATCAAGAAAATCTCACATGTGTAATGTTATCAAGAAAATCTCATGAATATGTAATGGTTGTGTATTAATTTAGGGAAAATACGATTAATGGCAGATTGGGGTTTTGGCGCTCAAAAAACCTAATCTTTGGGTCATAAAATCACTTTAATGATAAAATATTTATACATTTCGATAGAGCTTTGCTAGTGGAATGAAATACAACTATTTTGGAATAAATTTGAAGTTCTTTTGTTGAGATTTGAAGTAGAACGAGAAATGATTGCGGATTGGAAGATTCCAGAGAGCTATCAGATAATACGACCACCGGACAATATAGAACTACACAATTGTCCGATATCAACACTACCGGACAAGAACTTAACAAAAAAACTAGCCATCTGGTAATATGAACATCGGACAACTCTTTGCATTTACAATAAAAATAGGGCCTTCCAGTTCAGTTTTGTTCTTACCGGACAAAAGGGCAACTTAGAAAAAATAAAACACCAAACATCAAACGATAATAACACCCCAAACACTCTCCATACATAATTTGCTCTATTTTCTATATGCTCAAATGTTTCTATACTTTCTCTTTTTTAAAATTTATTATATTTTTGGATGGTGTCATCATTGATTCGGTCACCAATCCAATATTAACAACACAGGTTTTAAATTAGGGTTTTGGGTGTGTTGTTTCGGTAGCATTGCTGTCCATGTTTTATATCTCTTGTATTTGAAGTCGTACAGTTTGTATAAAGAATTTTAAAAAATATTCACCCAAAGAAAAAGTTTATATGGAGCCAAGGATCTAAACAATCAAATTAGAGATCACCTCAAAAAATTTACTAGTATAAATTGTTTTGATCATTAAATATCTTCAAATTGATCATCTCGACATTAAGATGCATGTACATGAAAAACAAGTGGATTTCAAGTTTTGAAAATAGTGCATCTTGTAATGTATTTTTGGACTGTTAATTTTTTAGATTTTCAAGTTTTTATAAATCTGCTCGATCTACACTATTTTTTAAGCTTTAAATTTTATAATTAAATATGAAAATATATTTTAAGGCTATCACAAAGATGTCGAATATTGAAACCACATTTCAACCCAACCCTACCATCTCCTTGAAGGTGTGTTTCATTTTGATTGTTTAGAGCCTCAACTCTATACAAACTGCACCCTTTGAAAAAGAAAAAAAGTAAAAAGAAGTGCTCGAGTTTGAAACCAAAACCCCAAAATATCATGAGAAAAGAGATAATGAATTTGCTGAGAGAGAAAAAAATAATCAAAGTTCTTTAGTGGGTATTTGGAGAATTGCCTAGCAGATAGATAGAGAGCACAAAAGAATAAGTTTGACATTCTACGTAGGAGATTGTATACTATGAGACGCTTTACTTCTTTACTTTTATTATAAGGAGCTCATAATTATCATAGTCATCTCATTTTAAATTTGACGGCTTGGGGTGTATCACGAAGTTTAAGAATTTTTTTTTTGAATTATGAACCCAATTAATGCCACTTACAAATAATGGATATGAAATCTCACAAACAAAAGTGATTGTTACCTCCTTATACCAAAAGTTTAAATAGTTTTACAAGGAAAAAGTTTATGTCCAGATGCTACAGTACAATGTAGAACTATGGATGCCCCTCAAAAATCCATCGGAAAAATTAGTTTTAATGTAGAAAAACTCTTTGATTGATCCTCTCGACATCGAGATGTATGACTCTGGAAAATAAAAAGATTTTAAGTCTCAAAAATAGTGTATTTTACAACATATTATCTACACTGTCCATTTTCAAGATTTTCATATGTTTATAGATCTATTTGATTTTAACTTTTTTTTTAATTTAAAATTTTATAATTAGAGATAAAAATAGATTTTGAGATAATCCTAAGAATATTTACATCAAAATTATATACCATGATAAAATTTGAAGGTGCACCTTACCTGTACACCTACGGATGCATCCGTGTGCGAAGTGAACCCATTCTACCATTACACCCTAAACTAGTTTGAAGTATTAGGTACTTCAGTAAAGCCAAAAGATTTTATACTTTTGCAGAAGTATATTGTCAGCTTAGTCCATCAAGTAAAATCCAATCAAAGAAGAATTTTAGGATCTCAAATTTTGGGGAGGTAACCTCTTCAATCCATAAATTAATGCGAGTAGAAATAATTTCTTAATTGCACTTTCTATGGACTTGAAAAGAAAAAAATTTGTCTCAAGGTACACACATCGGAAAGGTTGCTATACTTCTCCTACAACATAGAAGATCTATTCTCCACTACCATCCAGCCGTCCAATTTTGATCAAGAGAGCCACCCACCGTTTGATCTTAGATCCAACGTCCTAAAGTATTTTATTTTTAGTTTTTTTTATACAAATTATATGAATATGAAATTTGGTACGTGTCATATTCTCATTGAGGCGCACCCATAAAAATTATTAAAAATAATTTTTTGATAAAATATAATGACCAAAATACCTCTTGAAACTTTCAGAGGTATTTTGGTCATTTCATTTTATTGAAATTATTTGTTTTTTATATTTTTTGCTAGTGCGAGTTTGATAGGGGATTGGATGTCCAAAATGGTGCCAAAATAGTTCATAGAAAAAAATTTAAAAATAAAATAGTGTAGAGAAGTGACATTGTGATTGGGACAATCTTAGCCCTCCATTCAGAATGGACGGTTGGATAAGGGGAAGTATATAAGTTTTATGCTGTAGAGGAAGCATAGAAAGCTTGCCCTACAAACATACAATCTTAGCCCTCCATTCAGAGTGGACGGTTGGATAAAGGGAAGTACATAAGTTTTATGCTGTAGCGGAAGCATAGAAAGCTTGCCCTACAAACATACAATCTGTTGTAATACAAGTTGATCACAATTACTCTTATCCTTCAAATTTCAAATTGGATGGTTCTAAAAGTGTTATTGACTAGATTCTCATAGTACACAATCCCTACAAAAAATTATGTGAATGTCCATTTTTTTAAAAAAATTTTACCTCTGGTTTGATGTTTCATCATCAGTCCGCCTTTTATTTATTTTAATTTTTTTTTCAAATATTGGGATCAATCCAAAATCTGGACTGCCCTATGTATTTTTTGTGA